AGAGGAGGAACCTAAGATCAACAAATCAGAGGCCTTTAATCCTAAAGACATAAAACTAAACCAAGGACAAAGAGAACTAGGAGAACTGACTATAGAAACCCTTAAGAGAGGTACAATTATTTTGAATTAGTCTTCTAAATAATTGGATTCTATGGGATTCCTCTTCTCTTTCTCTCCCTTCTTTCAGGCGGGGAGGAAGGATTACATGTAGTGCGCATGAGCAAATGTAACACACCGTGGCGCTAAACATTGTTTTGATGAGAGCGGCTGTCAAAATCATGACAGCGTTGCTAAGTTATGCCAAGCATGCGCAACAAAAATAACGTCCTACCTCGGCAGAGTCTATTTTTCTCTCTCAACCAAAACAAAAGGAAAATAGGCTCTGCTAGCAGGGAATCTATGGGGAGTCGCATCTCAATTCAAAGTTCAATTTTATCAGTCTTGAAATTAAATTGGGATTTGATTTGCACTTAATAATATCCTCATATTTATAATGTGGGGGAGAATATTGCCCCCTAGATCCTCTAGATATGCAAATAGCTATCCAATACTATGTGTACTTCATGTTTCGCTCCCATGAGGAATCATGTAATGCTCTGAAAGGAAGATGGAAGACCTGTGGGCTGGATTCACTAATGCCTCTTAATGAGAAAGTAAGGTTAAAGTTTGATACAATGCTTTAGAGCAAAAAGATGTACCATCTTTGGAATCAGAAGACAAAGAGGATACTAAGATTGGAATAACCAAAGCAGATGAAACATCCCAGTGGATGGGGAGGATTGGGTTCTTCTCTGGCAATCCAACGGTAGAGACTGTCAAAGGAATTCTCCATATCTATAAAAGCAAGTGAGTAATGTTACACTTCATCAAAATTCATTTTAAGGATTTATTTGTTTTTCTTTGGTCATAATAGTTTCTGTGTCACATAAAATACCTTTGAGAAATATTTTCCTTCCAAAATAAGCTGTTCTGAGCTATCATGCTTGTTGGCTTGTCCTTGCTACCTTTATTCATGTTTATGATTTGTTCATTTTCAGTGAGATGACGTCGCTCACCAAAGGAATTTCCAGAAGTCAGACCATCTGCATGTTTGCAGTCCCAGCAAAGCTTGCATGTATTGACCTTTTACAGTTCGTGGCTCCCTCA